GATTTAGTGGCTTGACGCAGAGGGTGTTTCTGTCTCACTATAAATAAGCAATGTATTAATCCATGTCCAGCGGGCACTTTTAACTTATAAATAAAAATATTTAAAATAAAGTTAATCATTAGTAAACCAATCCCTACATCATTGTGAGGTTAGGCCAAGGCGACCAACCCTTACACCTTCACTAACTGAGGAACATCTAGGGATTTTTATACCTAGATGTTCCCGCAGTTTTAAGGAGAAGGAAGCGTAGTTTTTTGTTAGCACTTCTTTCCGGACTAAGAAAGCGTATACGTCTACCGCAAATCGTAAAATTTCTAAATTGTTATTTCTATTCTTGTTCCTGTTATTAAAACTTTGTTAGTTAAACCGTGTTGTTATTTCGTAATAAGTTCTGTAGGTTAGATCTGGTACATAAATACCTACATCATTGTGACGACCTCTGCCCCGGCACGCGCTAGGGAAAACTAGTTACTTTCTGTTAGTAACGTTTTCCTCCGGAAGGCGAGAAAATGTACAAGAAGCGACCAGCGCCATCTTTTCCAGATGCTTTCTTCTCTGCTGTTTAGGAAAAATTGGAAAAGGTAGAAAAGGTGGCGTTGGTCGCTTCCTGTATATTTTCTCGCCTTCCGGAGGAAAACGTTACTAACAGAAAATAACTAGTTTTTCCCTAACGCGTGCGGGGACAGAAGTCGCCACATCATATATCTTGTAGTGGATTTTATTTTTAGGAAGCAAGGAATCTTTTTGTTAACGGAAACACGTTATTTCTCACTATGCGTATATTTTCTAAACTACCGAATATTCACAGGATATTCTCGTTTTAACGATGCCGCCGTTCAACTGTCTTAGTCTTGCCAACTTTTGGTATTTCTTGGAACTATGAGAGAGGCCGCTACAATCTTGTGGGGACCCGGTAATGGGAAACTCGCGTTTTAATTAAGGAACACACTTTGTATAAAACTTAACTTTATTCAAGTAACGTGTAGATGACACATTTATGCTTTTCGAAGGTTCGAATCTAGACTTCTCTAGACTTTAGGGCATACGGGTGATAGAGTCGGTGTTTGTCGCGGATTCTAATTACACTGTCAAACACGATTTTTTTTCCCGCGATATCCACTAGGTGATTCGTACAGGGTTCCTCGTCCTAAATACGAATCTAAAAGTGAAATTGCTTCATCACCCTTAATTTTCGAGAAATACGAGATTTTGTAAAAACGGCTGATTTTGAGAGAAAACGTAGTACTACTTGAAAATTACGAACACTAGAAAGTTTTACTTAGTCTTAAAAGATAGAGAAGTGTTTTCTGAATATGAGGACATATTCCTTTAGAATTATCTGCTCCTTTGAATGCCTGTAAATGAACACCGAAGTTCAAAAAGGTGATGATGCGTGAATCTTTCACGAAATACTTTTGTATTTTAATGAAAAGTTATTCACCTAGGTCGATTTTACACTACGTTATCGGATTCTGCAAACATTTCTGAAGAGAAAACCACCCGCGGCAAATGTTGGAACGATTTCTAGTCTATACGGTTTGACAAAACGTCAACTCGGAACGCATGAACGGTGTTTTGCCGCTGCACAGCCATTGCTCGCTATGTTTCGGTCAGTCAGGGCCGTCGCTACGGGATTCATCTAATCGGTGCCACGCGCTATCGGTTTTTGTATTACATTTACATGTTCCAGATAAGTAATTCTTCATTTTTAACATTTCATTTATACTGCAACTCAACAAAACGGAGACAATTGTCCACTGCTTAAATTTTAATCATTAATTTCCTGTTTTTGTATCTTCAATTATTCGACTTTTGCTAATTTGATATTGAGCAAACTTTATTTAAATCTAAATTGAATTATTTAACAATTAATTCAATCTATAATTGTATATTTTGTTGTTCATTTTTAATGAAAACTGCTAGCTATAAAAAATCTCTCTTTAGAGCAGAGTTTACCCCCCAAACACTAACTTAAATAACAAAAGATTAAAGTATCGAAAAGTAGAAATATTAAGCTGTAAAATGGTTTTATATTCGTCAATGTGGGACGAATTTTAACGAAGTTACGAGAATTTGATGGTTATTATTCAAGCGCGTGGCGACGATTGGTGCAGAACGCATGACGACGGCCCTGATTCACCGATATAAAGCGAGCAAAGCCTGCGCGCCGGCAAATAGAATTCGTGCGATCTAAATTAATATTTTCTGGATCTGTACGAACTAGAAAACGTTCCAACATTTACCGCGGGTGGTTTTCTCTTCAGAAATGTTTGCAGAATCCTATAATGCATAGTAAATAGGACCTAGACGAATAACTTTTCATAAAAATACAAAAGTATTTCGTGAAAAGTACTCGCGTCGGCAACTTTTTGAATTTCGGTGTTCATTTACAGACATTCAAAAGAGCAGATAATTCTAAAGGAATATGTCCACATATTTAGAAAACACTCCTCTATCTTTTAAGACTAAATAGAACTTTTTAGCGTTCGTAGTTTTCAAGTAGTATTACGTTTTCTCTCAAAATCGACCGTATTTACAAAATCGCGAATTTCTCGAAAACTAAGGGCGATGGAGCAATTTCACTTTCAGATTCGTGTTTAGGGCAAGGAACCCTATAAGAAGCACCTAGTGGATATCGCGGAATTTAAAAAAAGTTTAAATTTGTTGGTCAGTGTTGTGACGACTAATGACTAATGATTTTTCTCCTCTTTACAGATTTTTTACTATTGATCCTGTTGATCCAAGCACTCGAGAGCTGAGCTACTACGTTGTTCGACATGATCCAGAGCTACTAGGATGATCGGCGAGATCCAGAGCCACTATCATGTCCATTATCAAGACAACGGTTGGTGAGTCGTATGCTTTATGGTTCCTCCGGTCCTCGATCATGTCGTAGGACGAAAGGTCCGAATCGCCACCGGGTGACTGGTTGTATACGTGGTGTTTGGCGAGTAAAGTGACAACGAGTATGCATTGCTTGGCATACTCGTGAATAGTGAACATTCCCTGTTGTATATTTATTAGTGTAGAATAGGGTCTTGTACTTCGCGTTTTCTATTAATAAAACGATAAAATGATATTCCACTTTAGAATAAATATTTTTTTATACAAATACTCATTGAGAGTATATACATATCGATATTTATAAAATCATGATATAAAGATACAGTAGATTTTTCCTATACAGGGTGTCCCAAAAGTCGGGGAGGAGCCGGAAATGGGGGGTAGCTGAGACAATTCTGAACAACAATTTCCTTTGCAAAAATGTCGGATGGGGCTTCGTTAAGGAGATATTAAGCGAAAACCCCGACCAATCAGAGCGCGCGTAGACCGTTCGAGCGGCCGCGGTAGCGAAGGCTACGCGCTAGGCGGCAGCGTCAATGTCTTTCGATGCACGTCGAGTCACTTGTTCGCGTACAAGCGCGGCCGTCAGCGCGTAGCCTTCGCTACCGCGGCCGCTCGAACGGTCTACGCGCGCTCTGATTGGTCGGGGTTTTCGCTTAATATCTCCTTAACGAAGCCCCATCCGACATTTTTGCAAAGGAAATTGTTGTTCAGAATCGTCTCAGCTACCCTCCATTTCCGGCTCCTCCCCGACTTTTGGGACACCCTGTATATTTCAAGTTATGAATTCAAATATAATTTTCAAAAATGCAATAATATATAATATAATTAAATATATAAATGTATTAAATATACTTATATTTTTGTTCTTTCAAGTATACATTTATTCCGTTGATATTTTTATGTACCTATGTACAAGAAGGACGGTCCGCGATAGGTCGATTTCTGAGTCAAAGTAAACACATTTTGAGCACTTGTGTATGTTCCTTAAAAAATATACTTTGACAAATGGAATCACCTGAAAGTAGCTCAATATTTATCTTAATATTCAATTCATTTCGATAATATTCTTTATATTCAATTTTAATTAGAGTCATTTTTCTTGATAATAGAATTTTTCAAAGAAGAAAACAATGTTAGCCCGCTTAAATTTACTAATTATTCTTTTTATTGAGGATTTTCAGGTTTAACCCTTCCGTGTTCGTTGTCTGAACTCATTCACGTTCCCAGGTGCTACTTGGATGGGCGAAGGCAGCGGGCACAATGACTTAGTTTGTAATATTAATCCATTTTCATATGAGCGACTGACTTTGTGCTAACGTATCGTGCACCGACGTAATTTCCGCATGTGTGTTTGTGGTTAGGATGTGGATTTGCGTCGGTTGAACAATGTATTATTATTTATAATCTATAAACGAAGTGGTGTTGTTTATACCACTCTTCAGTTATTATACTTTACAATAATATCAAACTTTGATTTATTTTTTATTCATTAATTATTTGACGACTTTTTACATTACTACATGCATATCCTTTTGCATATGCAAAGTTAGTTTGTTAATATTATATAACAAAAGAAAGTATACATTCTGTATACTTTCTGTATCAAAGCACTGTCTGCGAGGTCACAATTTCCATTGCATCTGTTGCTTTGGAGCTTTGCACCTTTTCCAGCTTTTCAATTTTCACCTAAAAAACCAAGGAAGAAAGCATTAGGAAAAGAGTCGACATAGAACGTGGATCGTAGAAAGTCTGTAAAATCGTCGCACACATAAATAGAGAGTTGTTATTGTTAAGTTGTTGTTCGTATGTTATTGTTTTAATAAAACTTTATAAATATCAAAAATTCAAATCGCTACATCATTGTGGCGACCTCTGTCCCCGCACGTGCTAGAGAAAACTAGTTACTTTCTGATAGTAACGTTTTCCTCTGGAAGGCGTTAAATACACAGGAAGCAACCAGCGCCACCTTTTCGAGATGCTTTCTTCTCTGCTTTTTAGGAAAAATTAGAAAAGGTGGAAAACAATAAATACTGACATTTCTGTGATTCTCGTATGTGCAGTTATAAACGGAGTCTTTACGCTCCCCGACCCTCGTAACGAGTCACTGTCACTGCTGACAGTCTCGACAACTGGAAGTCCGCAATTCCCTAGGACCGATGTCTGACAAAATGGTAGTACGTTACACAACGTTACAATCTCGTTAGCCATATTAAAAAGCATTTTCAAATGAAAATCCAGTACCGACGGTTCTGAACAGTGCTGTTAGCTAATTTCCAAACACGCTCTTAGTTAGTTAGTTAGTTGAGTATCTGTTGTGATCGACTTCCGTCTATTATTTTGTTCCTGTAATTTATTTCCATATTATATTATACTTTGGTATGATTTTGCTACGTGAAATATTTTTTCCTCTACATTCGGTTTGGTTTCTATTGTGCTCCACGTGGCTCCAGGTTGCCGACAGAAGGCCAAAGTCGACATGGTTCGTATACATCATATTATGTTTCTGTAACAAAACTGTTTGTTTCTCCTTTTTGTAATTATATTTGTACGAGTACATTATATTGACCGGGCTTGTGATTATATAACCTATTGCTGTTCTGATTTCTACAGATTACAATTTTCTGATTTCTTCTTGTTGTTTGTTAGATATTTCTATCGTATAGGTAAATTGATGTTGCATACTTTATCATTGATGAAATCATTTCCTTCACAAGATTGATCGCTTGGTCTTGTCTAATACTTTTCCTTCCATGGCATAAATATTTTATGATTTTTATTATTTCTTTCCATTTGTCTATCATATATTTACAACAAATATGGGCAAAACTTTAAGCTTCAAATAAATCCTAAGTTTGGTGATGTGTTTCTCTTGTTTCCTTTTTTGGAAAATGTTCAAAAGAAGAAACGAGACAAACATGTCAACAAACTCCTGATTTATTCTAAACCTAGGGTAATGCCCATCACTGATTTACAATGAGATTTGAAGTTCAGGTTTTGATCAAATATGACTCCCAAGAATTTGACTTCTTTTACTGATTTAATTTTTATTCCTCTTGTAGGGTTTGGGATATTTAATGTGATTTCCTCAAATTTAGTTCTGTTGTTGAAGTTTATCATTAGTGTTTTGTCTTTTAAAATTGTAAGGTGTCTCTCTGTTAAGAATTTATTCAAATTGTTTATTGCTGTTATGGCTTAATTTTGGTTGTTTCTGGGTTTTTTTCCTTTGAAATTATTCCAATGTCGTTTGCATATTGGAGCGTAAATGTATTTGGTATATTTATTATATTATTTATTCCTGCGATGTGTATGTTAAATAACATCGGGCTAAGTATTGATCCTTGTGGTACTCCTTTTCTCCATGGTATTTCGTATTTTTCTCCTCTGTTGTTAATAAATTCTATTGTCCTTTCTTTTGAGCCATACATTTATCCAATTTAGTATGTTACTAGAGCATCTCATTTCCTTTAATATTTGTATTAGTGTATTCAGATTTACATTATTTTATGTTCCTTGTATGTTGATGAAGGTGGTTATGATTATATCTGAATTTCTCATGTTTTCTTTTATTTCCACTATTAATCTGTCTAAATTGTCCATTGTGGAGCAGCTTTCTCAGAATTCTGACTGTGTCTTGTCTAATATCTTGAGTTCTTCAGTCTACGGTTGCAGTCTTCTAGTTATAATTTTTTCTGTTATTCTGTCTGGGCACGACGTTAGGGTTATGGGACGTAGAGCCTTTGTACCTGATTTTTCCAATAAACATATGTAGGAATTAAATTTAGTTTCCACTTAACTTATTTACAATTTATTTATATATTTACATACATGAAAATATAATTTAAATTTGCAATGTTAATAAACGATGTTAGCCAATAGGATGTATTTTGAATTAATTACTTTTGTTTTAACAACAACACATCTAACACGAATATAGCGTTTTAAATTTATGTGAAAAGAATGCCTCGCGTAGCACGAGCTATAGGAATTATAGTTCCTACACATAGTCATCCTTTTTTCAATCTTTAGGAATTTGGTACGTGTTCCAGCTTTCCAACATAATTTCAACTAGCAAGTTCTTCATGAATTAACAATATGAATACAATAAAAATTATAATTAGTTTGTCTGGAAAGTCCGTGCCAATTTTTGGTAGGTGGTACATGTCTGTTTATATTGGAATGGTTGAAAACAATTAACATGGGTGCATTCCTTAAAAGGTAGAAAGGTCCTGGAACAAAATGGTATTTATATAATTCAATAATATATATAATATTGTTCAGGACACCTTCCTTAAGCAAAAACACAAGGTTGATTCGTCTAAAATATAGAGGTTTATTATTATTACATAATAAATAGTTTGTACACGTGCTATATTACCTAACTTAAAATATAGAGAATCAACAATTTAATGTCTGTGTTTCCCTATGTTCTCTATGCATACTATATGTGAATTACCTACTAATTATTTATGTAAATTATCTGTTTAAAGATATTTTTAGTTCCTCTGTCTATCTATCGGTTTATTTATCTCCACTACCGTTCTCTGTGGAACATATGTATAGCTCACCAACCTATACACAAAGCTTACATATATATCAAAATTCAAATATGCCTTTGAATTTTTCTTATAAATTGGCACGAACTTTCTGGACAACCCAATATTTAATACCTTAAAAAAAAACACACAAGAAGCAAACAGAAAGGCCCTGGAGCATAAGAATTCCGTTAACTGTTGCAGAATTGGCGTATCATCTTGTTCGAGTGAGTTCTCCCAGCGAGTCCTGACAGAGCTGTCTACTTTCAGCAACAACAAATGGACAAGCAAACACACTAGATGATTTTCAACCGGTTCTAACTTGGTGATTGCACTCTGAGCTTCCAAGAACGAGTCGACTAGAGCATGCAGAGATGGAGCTGACTTGATAGTTGGAGGTGGAGCGTTGATGATCATATCCAGGTAGGATTTCAATATCAACCTCTTGCTTTTATACTGATTTTTGACTGCTTTCCAAGCTGGTTCCAACAAACTGTTCATGATTGGTAAAGATTTTACCACTGAGATGGCCGAGCCCTTCAAGCATCCTTTGAGGTATTGGAGTTTGTCAACATTAGCAAACTAAGTGTTGTTTAGCACTATATTTTGCAAAGATTCGCTAAAAGCGGATCACTTATAATCTCTGTCAAAATCTGGGAGTGGTATGTCAGATATGTCGATTTTTAAACCTCTCTTAAGCTGGCAGGACCAAATCAGCAGAATCGTATCGGACTTAGTGGAGTATTTAGTACTTATTAGGTTGTCCCAAAAGTTTCTTTTGTAATTTCCACTCAATTATTTTGTGCGGTAGTGTTTATATAAATAGACACTCTAATTTCTTAGATGTTGATGTTGTAACAGTAATGGAGCAAAATGAATCAATTCAATTCAATTCAATAATGTAACATTAGACATAAAATATTGTGTATGTATTACTTATTAATAAAACGAAAGAAACTTTTAGGACAACCTAATATTTTGTACTAATTTACACCACCAAAAGAAATTTTGTACCTGTTACCGTTTTCAAGAAAATCGTGACGCTGCTAGCTTAATATTAAGCTAGTGGCTGAAAATATTAAAAATTAATATAAATGATAAAATCAAAGCGGATACATTTAGTACTGAATTTCTACTAATTTGTACCACCAAAAGAAATGTTGTACCTGTTACCGTTTTCAAGAAAATCGTGTCGCTGCTAGTTTAACGTTAAGCTAGTGGCTGAAAATGTTAAAAATTAACCACCTCTTTCAATGTGTTACAACATTTTTGGGACACACTGTATAGAGCTGTTGAGTATTCACATGAATTAACTAGAAATTATTTCATATTTTTCATTGCATTTTCCAAGACCTTTAAGCAATTATACTTGCATGCAACCGATCACCAGTTCCGATTTGGACCTTTATGTCCCAAGGCATGGTTGATGATCAGAGGAACAAAAATCATCATGCAACTCCCCAGCCGCCAAATATTCTTCATCGTCTGAACGTTGAATCTGCTAATAATGCTATCAGAGTATATACGCCTAAAGAATCTGCAAAAATTAACATAAAATTTAAGAATCTATTTTTATCATTTGGTCGTTGCAATTTCAATAAAAAGCCGAATTAAGTCTAGGTACTTACATTTTTGGCTCGTAGAGCACCGCTCAATGAAACGATGATTCGCCGTCACTGACTCTATTATCGGTAACGAAGTATTTTATATAGTACATGATAATTAAAAAAAACAAAAAAGTAAAAATAAAAAAATCTGTGAACGCGCGCGAAAATTGTACTCGGCGAACAAAACTGACTCTAGTTTCGCGATTGAAAAAGTAGTAAGAATCATCGTGTTCTGAAATGAATTTTCAATGCGCAAAAAACACTCTGTTATAAAATAGAGTAAAATATTATATAAAATATATAAAAAGACTCTATTCTTTCGCTCTCTAAGAATTTTAAAATCTGTTTCTTCCCCATTCTTTAGAATCGTTTATAACCGTTGGTACCGCGTTTCGTTTCGTTTCGTTTGTATCTCAATAGTTTAAATTGTACAATTCAAATGTATCAACAATTGTTTGATATAGTGATATGACCTTGTAATATCTAACTCCACATGTTTAACTGAAACATAAAATTAATATCTATTGAATATCATAAAGTTTTATAATGGCGCAACGAGCCAATAAAAGGAAATAATTAAGATAAAAATTTGCAATTATTAGGGGTTGTTTCTATTAATACCAGTAAAAATTCTGTCAAATTCCAAACGGTTTCATCAATTTTCATTGGAGTTAAAGAAAAAAGAAGTAACCGATTGAAAAAAATTCATGTATGTATTTTTCATTTAAAACTTTCGAAGATTTGGGGCACGTATTAAAGTTAACATCGATAGCTTGTTGTATGTCTAAAAAAATAGGGGAAAAAACAGATTTCGAAAATTTCAATGTCGAGTGCTGACCATTTTCTGAATTTATTTTTAATTTATTTTTAATTATCAATCGATGATGGTACAAACGAAACTATTATTACTACAATCAAGTACAAACAAAATGCAATCATTTTCTATAAAAAAAAAAAAAGATTAATTTTTTGATAAAGTCGGGTGCCAGGTTCACATAGCTTGTTTATGCTGACACTTGAATTTGAATTACCACAACAGATACACTGGTTCATCGGCTACGCTACCGCGCAGAGTGCTTGCGACTATGGACCGGGTCTTCCTGTATCGAGACGGATACCCCATTTCGCTCGGTTTCATCAACCCTACTCCAACCAAAAATATTCAGGCCGAAGCAAAATTTCATATACATTTTATGAAAAACAATCGAGTGTTTTTCAAAGAACGCTTCGAAAAACATCTGTTTACCATATGTTTAAAGGGGCAATAAAGAACCTATTCTAATCATATCAGAATCATATCAAACGCCATATTCGTGTCGATAACACCTGATTTATATGTTTATTGTTTTTTTATAATTTTTATTAAAACATTATTAATTCGTCCCACTTTGCGTCGTGCATTTTGCAACCGTGGATCGTGCTTTCGGCAGCCCTTATCATAAAAATCGTGATTAGGACTGTCTGTGTAAAAGCACACTGCATTTACTTGTATAAGTCTGAAAGTCTCAAGACACCGTGTCGAACGCTAAGTGATTGCGAAAAATGGAGTGGACAAGTGAACGCAGTATAGAGTTAATCGGGAAGTTTAAAAAACACGAATGTCTGTGGAACGTTGCTCTGAGAGAGTATCGAAATATCGCAAAGAAAAAGGACGCGTGGGAGGAGATTAGCGAGCATTTTTCTACAAATCCAAAGGAGGTGGAAAAGAAGATGAAATCTCTGTTGGCTGCCTACAGAAGAGAGAGGAAAAAGATATTGGATTCAAAAAGATCTGGGAGCGGAATCGGTGCCACGTACGAATCCAAATGGTTTGCGTATAAGCATATGAAATTTTTACACGGCATAAACAAGCCGAGAGCAATGAGGGCGACAAGTATCAAGATGGTAAGCGTTTCTTTGTATCACAATTATCGCAATGCCTCTAAAATTGTAATAAACGGCTCGTAATGTTTCTTTGGAGTTTTCTCAACTTGCAATCAATGTATAGACAGCGATACTGATGACAGAAAACATTTGAAAAACTTTTCAGAGGCGTGAGAGTGAAAGCGAGGTTCCTGAAAATAATGAGGATAGCGGAGAAGGAAACTCTTTGAAACAATTTGAACCACTTGGACAAGGGAAGAAAAGGACAGCAGCGGACAGGACAGACATTGCATTCACAACGATGCAAGAATTACTGAATCAAGAATTGGAGAAAAAGAGAGACGAATATTCCATATTTGGGGAATTAATGGCGCTAGAAATACGAAAGCTGCCAACCGAGCTTGAGCGAACCGTCGTTAAATTTAAAATACAAGAGATATTATTTCAAGCTGCCATGGGAGCATTTAAACGAAGTCCAGAATATACGCCTGTGTGCTTCGAACGTGGAGAAAGCTCCAGCTCTGGACAACAAAATAATTTTTAAATCTACTTTCTTTTTATTATTTTTATCATTATTATTATGCGCATAACATTACGAATATATACAGGGTGTTAATCTCTTGGGTACGGATTTATTTGAGAAAATATTCGCATGTGGAACGGATATAATTTTTGGTTGCTTGGAGAAGATTCACTATCACTGCTCGATAGACGTCTTGTGCGTCTTCGAAACCTTGATATTATATTAAAATTGTCATCATTTTCTATTTCAATATCGTCTTCATCACCTTCGCCTTGTATTTCATTGTAATTGTCAATTTCAGGATCACTGAACAATTCTTCAGATTTCTCAAAGTCATTTTCGCTATCACTATCATAAAATATATTCCTTGTTTTTGACATAATGGGGCAGTGTATCGCAAATAATGTTCACCAAAATACTGTAATTGCCTCTTCTATTATGACTGATACAAGCTACAATGTTTTAGACACGTAATCCGCTCCTAGGGAAAACAAGTGAATGACATGTCTTAGACGTCAAATGTACCCAAGGGGTTAAAAAAAAGCATTCGATATTTATATGATGGTGTATAGGCACACTGTACCGAGTAAAAAAGCTTTAGTAAACATAGGTCCGAAGGTCAACCGTTTCTGAGATATAAACATTTTTGTTGGCTAGTATCATGATTGACTTACTTGCTTTCCATCGCATGCGATGTTTATGTCAGTGTTTATAAATTGCGTTCTGAATGTTCCCATTCAAATGCCGACAATTTCGTCAATTCCATTTTTTCAATTTCGTGTACAGAAATGAGCGGTGGACACGTGGAAAATCTTCTATAAATATCGAAAACCCAGTAGTATTTATATCTCAGAAACGGTTGACCTTTGGACCTATGCTTACTAAAGTTTTTTTACTCAGTACAGTGTGCCCTACACCATATAAATATTGAATGCTCTTTTTTGAACACCCTGTATGTATGAATGGATAAAAATGTGGATGGACGGATGGTATACTGCCGCTCAAAAGTATGTGGACGCTCCCTTAATTCTTATAACTGAAAAAAGTTATGATATCTTTAGTAAATTTGATTATCTTGTATATATTCCATTTCTGACAGTGTCAGAGAACATATTTTAATGATATTGGGGGTTGTCCAGAAAGTTCGTGCCAATTTTTCAGAAACATTCGAAGACATGTTTGAATTTCGATATATATTTATTGAATTATATATGTACCATTCTGTTCCACAATTTTTCCACTTTTTAAGGGATGTCCACATGTTATTTGTTTTCAACCATTCCGATATATTCAGACCTGTACCGCCTATTAAAAATCGGCATGAACTTTCCAGACAGCCCAATAATTTATTAAATATCTCACCGATAATGATAAAAAGTAATTACAGTGGGTGTAGAAAGTATTCGTACACCGATCAATTTCCAAAAAAAAACTGTGTAAAATTGTAATTTATTAACTTATGTTTTATAAACAATGACATTCTACAAAAAAAAAAAAAATAACTATTTATGTAAGTTGCGAAATTAACGAGTAACAAAACAATTAATCGATAGAAATGTTGAAGCAATAAGTATTAAAATATATTTTAACCAAACGTTTGAGCAATCTCGCCCTTTTTTGGGTGGAGGTTGCGTCAAAAAGTTCGAGCAATGAATTGAGCTGCCGATGCGCTCGCCGAAGCCCTTTTTGTACGAAAACGTCTATATTTACAACACAAATGATGTACAAGTCCTTACTTAATATATGTATACAGTTTTTAGGAAAGCGAAATTATCAATTTGCACTATCCCGAAGCACAGAGTTCGGAGATATTCAAAGCGCGAAAAACCGAAGCGCACGTGTTCGGTAAAACGAAGCAGGCAGACTGCTCAAAGCGCGTGTTGTTTTTATCGTGGCTGATAAAAGACTAATTAGCCGGGCGCTCGCACGGAGATTTCCGATTCCTGGAATCTTCTAGAGTTCTTACCCCGGGTCCACACTGCGCGAACACTGGTTCGCGTATACCGTTCGTGAACATGGTAGCTAACCCTGTTATTCACCGGTTTTCGCCGTAGTGTGGACGGGAAATAGCAGAGTTCGCTAACAAATGACCCTCCTAATAGGCGTAAAGTCGTAAAAGTAGCCCCGCTGGGTTAGACGAAAACTGTGTTCGCGAACCAAATTCAGCGATCCACGAGGTGGTGGATCCGGCGAACATGTTCGGGAAAAACATCGCCCTTTTCCTCGTTTTTGTCCCTTTTCAAACCCTCGGAGCTTGGGCATTGCTATTCTTTCTAACTGTGGGGCTGGTCTTTATGACCACCCACAGGTAGGTACATTAGAGTGGACCTTAGCTACTCTTGTGCAAAAATTTTTTTTAAATTCATTTGATGCGACCCTTCTACTCGGTAAAAAACTAATTCCCTCCAAATTTCAAGTCGATCGGACAAAGGGAAGACGTGTCGCAACGAGTTGGTTTATTTTAATGTAATATTTTTATTATATCAAAGCAAAAATTAAATTGTTTAATGAATTTGTTTATGCAAAATTTTTAATATTTATTTTTTAAATATAAAATTTGATCTCACATTAATGTAAGGAAAAGTAGAAAAAGAAAGTTAAATACTTATAATTAAATATTTTATTTATAGGCCTAATTATAATAAGAATATAAATAATTTTTAAAGATCTGTACTTAATGTTGTTTTATCAATTTTTGGGTATTTTTCCCTATAATCGGTTACAATATGTAATATGAATTGTTTTTCTTCTTCGTTTTTGTATAACGTTGAATTATAATCTTTCATTAATTTTACTACTCTTTCGGCAACATCATTTACAACTTCTAATTTTGTTATAATACCTATCGCTTCGATATAATTATTATTAGTTTCCCATAGTGCTGGATCAATTAAAAGAAAATCTGAATTTATATTGAACCGTTTGAAAAAATTATTTGATTCGGATGATACGAAATGTTGTATTTCTAAATTCGCAAGATTTTTAATTTCTATAGTCGTTCTCATGTATCTCTTATAATTATTATTATTGTTTACATTTTGTAGTACTTGTACCATTGATCTTTTTGTTTCTACTGAAACTTTTTTATCAAAAAACGATAGCGCCGCATTCTCCGGTGACAAGTACCATAAATGGTTCAAAATTTTTTTTAATGCCACATCGCTTATTTCTTCGTTAACATTTTTGTAATGAATTATATTTTTGATGAATTCTAGATCTACACGTGGCGCCATAGCAGTCATTGGGGTCAAAATCCACGGCTCAATATAAATGTTAATTAGAAATATACATGTATCTCTAATGCTACTATACTCTTCCTGGTTGAGAGGAAATTCGTTTCGAAAAATAAATATTTTTAAAGTGTATATTATTTTAGCCATCCACCTCGCATGGTGAAATGCGCCAGGCATTTTGAATGAAATGCCACCCAAAGGAATCCCCCAAAGAAAAATTATTGCTAATTCTAAAAATTCTTTGTAGTCATCTCTTGGATGACTCATTTTTGTGTAATTTTTAAAAATTTCGATGTATATGTATGTTTCAGAACGTAATCGTCGCGCGTTCCCGGGATGTAATTATTTTTATTAATTTCAGGCCAACTATTTTGAAATTTTTTAAAAAGTTGAATATTCGGACCTGTTGTTTTCGGCATTTTTAATTCAAAGACCCCACGCAACACAATTTCGTATATGTGATGGCGGCAAGGAAAATACAAAAGATCTCTTTCAATTCTTTGTTCTAGCAACACACATGCGCCCTGTAATCGTCCCGTATTTGACGAAGTCGTGTCACAGCATAAGGCTTCTACGTGGTCCGTTAAATTCCATTCTTCTAAGGTTGTAAATATCGCCAAGGCCTGATCGCTTCCACTACTGGAAGGAATCGCAGGTATCCCCAATAATTTTCGTACACCGTTGCACGAAATTACCACTGGAAGTCGCTCCACAGTTTTCTTGTCAAAAGTAGACAACATCGCGCCATCCCAATGTACAGTTATCCCCCTTAAATTAATTTTTCCGAACATTTCCCGCAGATGTTTGGCGTGATCTGCACGAAAATTATGGCGAAATCACCGAAGAGAAGTGCGATTAATAATTAATTCATTTGTATTGTGACCTAAGCTCTCTGCTGTTGCCATAATAATACGAACAGCATCGCGATCGCTGATTTTGCACGCATCTAAAGCTGCAACTAACTTTGAAGAAAATACTTGGACTTTTCCTCTTCTTTTTCGGTCACTCGGCCCAGGTATATTCGAATCACCTTCAACTTCTGAGTCACTGGATACCTGCAACCCCTCAGGAACATTCCCAATGCTCGAACCTAACGGAAAATCTCCAATGCCCGAACCTAACGGTACATTCATTGTCATTTCGTCGCTGGATGACGACGAAGATTGTAGCTGCACTGTTTCTGTAATGTAAAAATAAATATACTGAATTTATTTCTAAAACATTAGAAATATATTTAACAGAGTTAAATTTTAAAAATATATATTACCTTGTACAAGTGATTGTCGACCTTGTTCTTGTAGTGTTTTCGTCCGGTCTTCTCGAAGAGTTTTCCGCTTTTCTTTTTCTGCTAAAGCACGATCACTGGCACCTATTAGTCCAATTCGCCCTTTTTCCCCTCTGTTTCAATAGAAATAATTTATCTTCTTCGATTTTTATCATTTCTAAAGCATTCGCATAGACGATGTCAAATAAATCGTCCAACGAATCTTTGAATTCTTGTTCCCGCTGTATTTGGATTGCAGTTCGACGATTGACAGATTTATATAATGTTCTCCATTTCTGACGAAGAGGCTTCAACTTGTCAATGCTATCCGACGTCTTCTTCACTGATATTCGTGATTTCTTCCAAAATGTTTCAGTTTCTTTTATAACTAGAGTAGCACTTGTTTTAAGGTCCAGCTTTACTTTTCTCATATTATAGAAAAGAACTCGTAACACTTGTCCGTTACTCAGCAATTTTGCACCAACAATTTGTTGTTCGTAGTAGTCCAATATAAACAATTTATCACTACTTCTTGTCTCCATTTTTGCTCACTGTCACACTAACAAATTTCGATACTTCGTGTATTTGTATTTGTATATTTCTTTATTGTGTAACAAAAAATATTGTTATTTACACATTTCCGTTGTACATAGAATCTCTTTTACATTCTGTTTGTTAACAAAGTGAACTTAGTCTATTGTATTACAATCTAATATTGGCATTTTTGTACATGTAACTATTTACTTATTGTCTATTTGTATACATATTGAGGTTTGTGGGTGAAAATCAACAATTATATATATGTTATTTTCCTAACTTACAATTATAAACTTTTGTAGTCTTAACAAATATATTATCATATTTTCGTTTTTTCTTTTTTGCGCTATATTGTTTCACCTGCTACTTATTCTATTTTTGTCCGCCTCAAGGGAAGTTTCCCATATCACAATTCGCTTAATACTTTTGTTCGTTATTGTGTTTTGTTGTTGTGTTTTTTTTTTTTTGAATTCGAGAAAATAGGATTACTTTTAGAGTTTTTGATTTTTGTTTTATATCTAAGTTGACCAAAATGGCCTTAGTCTTACTTACAATCTCTTTGTTGTTTTCCTATTCTCCCTATTCATCTGTTCTTTAATACTTATTAACAGGTACATTTATTTAGTTGAAACAATTCCCTGACTTAGAATAAGTTACATCTCGTTGTCCTGTGTTAGCAGGATTTAACAAATTATTAATTCTCATAATACAATATTTGCTTCTTTTAAAAACGCTATTATTGCTTTTGAAGCTGAGATCTCATGCTATTAGGTCAATATTTGAGGACTGGGAGCCTCTACCTATTCTAGATATTGTATCTATATTAATAATCATAAGTTCTATTTCCTCTAAAGCTGTTTCTAAACTAACCCCCTCTGCGGAACTTTTTTGACAGTTCCAAAGTGGATTATGTGCATTAAAATCGCCTGCAATTATTGTGTTTTTGTTTAAATTTAATGAGTGAAAAAGTTCAAGCCATTCCCTGGTGCAGAATTTACCGTTCGTTCGATAAATTAGTCCTAGTTGGAATTTTTTTTTTTGATTGGAATCTAATACCTCCGCCACGAGTGTCTCGAACTTTTTATCTACTTTATGTGATTTGATTTTCTTTAAATTAATGTCCTCTTTGTAATATATACCTAATCCGCAACCTTATTGGTACCTTTTATTACCTATTCTCCCTGTATTGAAATCATTTCCATTGTTTTTTAACTGGTAACCTTGTATTTGATATTTGGTATAGTCTATTATCCAAGTTTCTGTAATTAGCATGATATCATAATTGTTGATTTTTTCTTTTAATTCGTCTATTTTGTTTCCTATGCTTCTCGCGTTCCATAGTCCTATTTTCATCTTTACATTATTGTGCATTTTGCTAAATAATTGCGAGTACTATTATTTGTGTATTGTACAGTACGCCTGTAGAAAAGTTTATTATGAATATAAGAAGTAACTATGTTTGTGTATATAATTGCTTATAACTTTATTATCTATATTTTTTTTTTTTTGGAGTTTGGTTTGCGATATGTTTACTGAATAAAGTTATTTTTGTTAATTAAAGAGTGTCTATTGATTTCCTTTTTAATTTTTTGATCTAATTTTTCCTTTCTTTTTTTGACTTGTTATCTGTGTATAAATGTTATATTTTGTTGCTGTCTTTGTTTACTTTTTGACTAAGAAGTTTGTAAATTCTTAATTTTCTTAATATAATAAATAGAATATCTACTTAATTGTACTAATATCGTTTTGTTTAAATATCACTATGTATGATATTTGGTATCGTATATAAAAAAAGAAAAAGGAACCGTTTTTATATGTTTCTATGCTAAGTATTTTCAACTTCTTTCTTTTTTTTTATTAAGTAATTTTATTATATATTTTTGTTTCCTTTTTCTTTTTCTTAAAATTTATATTATTAAACATTTCCTATTAAAATAAAGTAAAACGATATAAAATAAAATAGAATAACATAAAATAATTGTGTTTTCTTTATATATATCTTAAAAGTCTGTGAAGTTTCTCTTACTTGTTCTCTGGTTGGGAACTTATTAACTCTAAATCGTCATCAGTCTCTGTTTGTGGCGATTTGAACGACTCCGAGTAGTCGTCTTCTTCCTTCTCCTGACTTTCTGGAATCACTTTTTGGAATGTGAAATCAATTTCTTCTGGTATCGACTCTACAGGAATCTTTTGTTGATGGTCTGTTTCCATCTCTTCTTCCTTCTTCTTTGGGCTGGTTGTTTCTTCAGCATTGGGAATTCCTTCCCATTCCTCATTGGACATATATCCTGCTTGTGTGTTTATCGTCGGAGCATGTTCTTCTTCTGTATGAGTCGGTCTAGGAGACGTTTTTGGTAGAGTTGAGTAATTATATTTGTTTTTACTTCGAAAATCTGGAATATGTAAATTATCTTCCCTTGTTGGTGTAATTCTGTGTTTGGATGTGGTAGGCTTGTTTTGTTGATAATATTCCTTGTTTTTAATTATTATTGGAGGTTCACTAGTGCTTTTTGTTCTTTGGTAGCGTTCGTCCTTGTAAGTTATGGGGATTTTATCTGTCTCCCTTTCCTGTTGTAAGAATTGTCTTTCTTTGTGATAGTTTTTAAGGAAATACCTTTGTTTGTCTTCATAGATATCATCGAGCTCTTTTTCTGTCGGTTCACCTTTACTGCCTTGTACGTACTTATTTTCACTTAGGTGTCTTGGTGGCGAGTCTTTTAGCTTGTTTTTTATTACGTTAACTAAATTTTGTTCCTTAATCCAGTTGATTAGTTCTTCTATATCTTTGTCATCTCTGATGCCAAAGTTGGTCTTATTTGATTTGTAAGTCCTTGCCTTGGGAATGTACCTTTCATTTTCTTCTTCCGTGTCAGATTTGTAGTATTTATTTGTATTCTTCGTTGAATAGTGCATTGGAGTTATTATTTGTGTGTCCTCCTCTTCTAATGGATAAAATCTGTTGTTATTGTTAGTACTAACCTTTGATGCAATGGGTATTGGCCGTCCTTTGCCTTCGTTGTTTCTTGGTTGCCTTCTGTTTGGTACAAACCAGTCGTTTCCTCTTATTGGGCACGGTTTGTCTTCCCATTTTTCAATTTCCATATTATATCTACCTTTAGTTCTTCTTTGGCCTAACACTGGGAAGTCTTCCTCCTTGTACCTAAAATTGTTGGTACCTCCAATTAATTAGTTCTTCTATGTCTTTATCATCTTGGATGCCAAAGTTGGTTTTAGTAGATTTATGGGTCCTTTGCTTTGGGATATATCTTTCGTTTTCCTCTTCGTTGTCAGTTTTATAATATTTGCTTGTATTTTTTATTGAATATTGCGTTGGTAATATTATCTGGGTATCATCCTCCTCTAATGGGTAAAATCGGTTATTATTTTTGTTACTAACCTTTAGTGTATTGGGTGATGGGCGTCCTTTGCCGTAGCCCCTTGGTTGCCTTCTATTTGGTGTAAACCAGTCGTTCTCTCTTATCGGGCACGGTCTATCCTCCCATTTTTCTATTTCCATGGAGTATCTGGCTTTATTTCTTCTTTGTCCTAACACCGGGAAGTCTTCTTCCTTATATCTAAAATTGTTGTTGCCTCTAAAATTCAGTTCCGTCATCGCAACGCTCTTGGCCTCGTGGAATGACATGTTTTTATAGGCGATCAACTTGTTTATTGCTTTTTCCAACAATGCGTATGGGCATTGCCTATTTAATGCAGAATGGTCTTCTTCACAATTCGAGCATTTGGGAGAGTTAGAGCACTCTCCGAGTGCTGTCTCCCCGCAGTTAAAACATTTACTCGTTGTTTCCCGACAGAAGCGTTTTGTGTGGCCAAAGCGTAGACATTGGTAACATTGCCTAATATTTCTGACGAATGGGGTAACATTTAATGAGACGTGGCCTTCCATAATCACTACTTTAGTGGGAAGGCTAGTTCCCCTAAACTTCACAATAATCATGTGCGTGTCCACCCACTCGTATCCATTATCTACCTTCTTCCTTTTTCTAAGTCTTTCAAACGACTCGATGTTTTATCCCGGAATAGTTTCCTCTTTTAGTTCTTCCAATGAATATTCCCATTCCTTAATGATCCCTATCCTAAATTCGGATCTTCTTGGTATACGAATTTTATATTCCCCATTGTTCTTTTTGACATATTTGTTATAAATGTTTCTTCCTTCTTCTGGATATTTTATTTTGATTTCCGCGATATGTTTATTAAGCATTTTGATAGCTTCTATTTTTTTAATATCTTCTCTTAGGAATCTGAAAATTTTCAAGTACTTAAGCTTTTTATTTGATTTAAAGTTTACATTACCTTCTTTTTTGTTAAGTTTCCTAACTACTTCTACTTCAAACAAATGGATATTGTCCGTTTCACCTTTGATTGGAGATTTCTTTTTAATTTGAGATTTATATTTTTTATCTGAAGACGAATCAGAGTCTGTTTCCTTTCCTTCGCGTGTTGCACCACGTGTTGGAAAGCGTCCGATCCCGTTTCTTACCTTTGCCTTCTCTTCTCTCGAATTTATCGATTCCACTATCGATCGTACATTCAAATCTTTTTCTGCGTTATTTTCCACCTCACTTTTATATGTGTTTATTTCCATATTTGTCCTTTCGTTTCCTATGATTTTTAGTTTTTTTCTCACGTTTCTGCTTTCGTCACTATACTCGTTTTCAACTGCCTGTTCGAGGCTTTTTCTTCTCGTCTTTACTTTCTCCTTCGTCAGTGGCGCTGATTGTAGTTTCTCTGGCGCGCTGATTGGGTCTTCCCCTTCTCCTCTGCTCTTCCTCATTGATCGGGTTGTGTCCTCTTCCATCCTGTTGGTTCGTAGCCTATAGATCTCCTCCGCTGATCGTTGGATCAATTTAATTTTTGATTCACGTAGTACCGACGTGTTTCCGCTTTTAGGGAGGGAGACTCCTCTCTCCCTCCCCTTTTCCTTCTTCATCCTCTTCCAAGCTGTCTCTCATAGAGAGAGGTTAACTTTCTTTCACCAGTCACATTTCCCCCGGGTGAGTTCCCCCCTTAATAATTAATGTCTCAAAATGTTCCTCCCACCTCACTCGCTCTTTTAATTGTAATTTAAAATAACTATACTATGTAATTACACTGAACCTCTAGTTAATAACTCGAGCCACTAATTTTCCGTTATATCCCTCCCAAAAGGCAAACCGGAAGTGTTCGATACTTCGTTTGTTTGTTTGTTTGTTTCTTTATTGTGTAACAATGAACATTGTTATTTACACATTTCCGATATACATATAATATTTTATAACATTTTGTTTGTTAACAAAATAAACTTATTCTAATGTATTACAATCTACTATTATGTTTGTATGACTATTTCCTTACTGGCTATTTGTACATGTTATGGTTTGTATGTGTGAATCCTCAGTTACAATTATCTTATTTATCTAACTTACAATTATAAAATTTCGCAGTCTCATCAAATATATTAAGTTGTTTTCATTCGTTTTTTTTTTTTTTTTTATCGAATTGTTTGCTTTTTACTTACTCTAAATTTCCGTTAAAGGGGAAATTTTCCTATATCACAGTTTATTTAATACTTTTGGTCATATTTGTATTTGGTATTTATATATTTAGTTGTATTGTTCCTTTATTGAGGAAATAGGATTACTTTTACTTTTTTGGGATTAGGTTTTTCGTTAGAATCTAAGTTGACCAATACGGTCTCAGTCTACCCTTAAACTCTTTTTGTTGTATTCCTATTTTCTCTATTGGTTTGTTCATTGATCCTAATAACAAATATGAGATTTAGTGTAACCGTTTCTAGCTTAGAGTTAATGTTTCGTTGTCCTATATTAGTGAGATTTAACGAACTAATACTATTTATCACAATTCGATATTGGCTTCTTTTAGGAACCCTAAAATTGCTTTTGATGTTGAGCTCTTGACACTATTAAATATTTGCGCTACGTTATAATTGCAGTTATTCGTTCGCATATCCATCTTGTCATACATTTATTAAACGCGGAATAGTTCTAAACGGACATCTAAGGAGGACATGTTCTATAGTTTCTCTTCTAATTTACAATCACGTATTTGATCATCTATTGTACCTTTACTCTCTAATAATTCCTTTAAAATGTGTTCTCGATATTGTGTCTATGTTAGCGATCATAAATTCTGTTTCCTCTGAAGCTATCTCTAAACTCACCCCTTCCGCAGAGGTTTTATAACCATTTCAAAATGGATTATGTGCACTAAAGTCGCCTGCAATAATTGGATTTTGTTTAAGTTTAATATTTGAAAAAGTTCGAGCCACTTCTTGATGCAGAATCTGCTGTTTGTTCTGTAAATTAATTCTGTTTGTAATATCGCTTTTTGATTAATATCTAAGACCTTCACCGGCAGTGGTTCAAACTTTTTGTCTATTTTGTGTGATTTGATTTTTTTTTTTTTTTAAATTTATGTCCTCTTTATAGTATATTCCTAGTCCGCATCCTTGTTGATAAGTTCTATTACCTATTCTTCTTGTATCACAATCGTTTCCATTATTAGCTGGTTGGTAACCTCATCTATTTTATTTCCTATGCACCTTGCGTTCCATAGTCCTATTTTTATTTCACATTATTGAACATTTTATTATATAATTATATGGGTTACTATTGATGTTTTGTTCTAAATGCCTGTGGAAAAGATTTACATGAGTATATATGAATTAACTATGTTTGTAAGAATATGGTTATATTGCTTTGGGTTTGTTTCTCTGTTTGTATTTATAATTTGTAATAAATTTGAGTAAAGTTCATTGTTATTTGGATGGTGTCTATTGATTCCTTTAAGTATTTCTGGTTTCCGGATTATTTTTATTATTATTGTTTCTGTATTATTATTATTGTTATTTATTGTTTTTTTTTTTAAATCTTTAGAATTAGAGGAAGTCTAATAAAAAGTTTTTTTTTTTTTTTTTTTAATTCTTTTGAACGAAATAGTTGTTCTTATTTGTATATATATATATATTTTTTTTTTTTGGAAAATAAAAATTTCCTAAATTTCTTATCATAATATGTAACATTTTATAATTTGGTACGTTAAGCTATTAATGGTTAATTGAATTCCCATGATATATACTGCTTGATACCGTGTGTACTGAAGAAGAAAGAGGAAACATTTATTATGTTTCCTCTTTCTTATTCTTTTTAACTATTTTCGTTGGAAAATTCTTATTAATACAAAATTAACATAGTATACATAAAGAATATATAAAAATATAATATATAAATGAGTATTCTTTTTAAGTATATTCAAAAATTACTAGTTAGAGAAATCTCTTACTTGTTCTCTGGTTGTGAATTGATTAAATCTAACTCTTCGTCGTCAGTCTCTGTTTGTGGTGATTTGAACGACTCCGAGTAGTCGTCCTCTTCCTTGTCCTGGGTGTCTGGAATAATTTTATGAAACGTTAAATCAATTTCTTCTAGCATTGGTTCAGCTAAGGCCTTTTGATGAATGGCTGTTTCTGTTTTTTCTTCTTTTTTCTTTAGGTTGATCGTTTCTTCAACATGTGGTGTTCCTTCCCATTCCTCATTGGACATATATCCTGCTTGTGTATTGTTTGACGGGGCTTTTTCTACTTCAGTCTGAGTCGGTCTAGGTGTTGTTTTTGGTAAAGTTGAGTAGTTATGTTTCCCTTTACTTTGAAACTCCGGAATATGCAGGTTATCCTCTCTTGTTGGTGTGGTTCTATGTTTAGATGTACTGGGTCTGTTTTGTTGGTAGTATTCCTTGTTCTTAATTATTATTGGAGGCTCTTTCCTGTCACTCTTTGGTTTTTGGTGCCGTTCTTCCTTGTAGGTTATAGGGATTTTGTCCGTTTCCCTTTCCTGATGAAGATTGTGCCTTTCCTTGTGGTAGTTTTTTAGGTAATATCTTTGATTATTTTCATAGATCTCGTTGAGTTCATCTTCCGTTGGTTCTCCTTTGCTGCCTTGGACGTACCTACTTTCTCTTATCGGTCTTGGTGGCGAGTCTTTCAGTTTATTTTTGATGATGTTAACTAAATTTTGTTCTTTAATCCATTTGACTAACTCTTCAATGTCTCTGTCGTCTTGGATATCGAAATTGGTTTTTATGGATTTGTGGGTTTTTTGCCTCGGATTGAGCCTTTCATTTTCCTCTTCCTTATCGGTTTTGTAGTATTTGCTAACATTTTTTATTGGGTAATCCGTTGGTGGTAGTATTTGAGTGTCGTCCTGTTCTAATGGGAAAAATCGGTTATTACTTTTGTTACTAACCTTTTGACTGCTGTATGGAGATCGTTCTTGGTCTTTGTAACCCCTTGTTTGCCTTTTAGTTGGTGTAAACCAGTCGTTTCCTCGTATCGGGCATGGTCTGTCTTCCCATTTTTCTATTTCCATAGAGTGTCTCGTTTTACTTCTCTTTTGTCCGAGCTCCGGAAAATCTTCTTCTCTGTATCTAAAGTTATTGTTTCTTCCAAAATTCAGTTCTGTCATGGCAGTGTTTTTAGCTTCATGGAATGACATGTTTTTATAGGCGATTAATTTATTTATTGCTTTTTCCAGTAAAGCATATGGGCACTGTCTATTTAGTGCAGAATGGTCTTCTTCGCAGTTCGCACATTTGGGAGGGTTAAAACAATCCCCATGTGCTATTTCACCACAGTTAAAACACTTACTTTTTGTTTCTCGACAAAACCTTTTTGTGTGACCGAAGCGAAGACACTGGTAGCATTGTCTAATGTTTCTAACAAATGGGATGACGTTTAATGAAACGTGACCTTCCATGATCACTACCTTGGTGGGTAAACTGGTTCCTCTAAACTTCACGATAATCATATGCGTGTCAACCCATTCATACCCGTTATCTACTTTCTTCCTTTTTCTCAGTCTTTCGAACGACTCAATATTTTGTCCTGGTGTAGTTTCTTCTTTTAATTCTTCTAACGAATATTCCCACTCTTTAATCACTCCAATCCTGAATTCAGATCTCCTTGGTATGCGTATTTTGTACTCCCCGTTGTTCTTTTTAACATATTTGTTGAAGATATTTCTTCCTTCTTCTGGGTATTTAATTTTTATTTCCGCTATGTGTTTGTTAAGCATTTTGATAGCTTCTATTTCTTTTAAGTCTTCCCTAAGAAATCTGAAAATTTTAAGGTAATTAATTTTTTTGTTTGATTTAAAATTTACTTTACCTTCGCGACTGTTGTACTTTTTGTCTATTTCAATTTCGAAAAGCTGAATATTATCCGTGTTCCCTTTTAGTGGAGAATTCTTTTTAGTCTGAGACACGTTTCTTTTGTCTATTGACGAGTCGGAATCAGTATCTTTGTTAACACGTGCGGCACCACGTGTTGAATTTCTAACACCCACGTTTCTTACCTTTGTTCTTTCCTCTCTTGAATTTATCGATTCAATTATCGATCGTACGCTTGAATCTTTTTCTGTGTTGTTCCCCGAATCACTTTTATATGCGTTAATCTCTATGTTAGTTTTTTCGTTTCCTATTATTTTCAATTTTTTCCTCACGTTTCTATTCTCATCACTGTATTCATTTTCAACTGCCTGTTCGAGGCTCTTCCTTCTTGTCTTTATTTTTTCCCGCACTAGAGGCGCTGGCTGTATCTCCTCCGGCGCGCTGGTTGGGTCGTCCCCTTCTTCTCTGCTCCTCCTGATTGGACGCATCGAGTCCTCTTCCATCCTATTGGCTCTTCGGTTATAGATTTCCTCTACTGATCTTTGGATCAGCTTGATTTTTGAGTCACGTAGTTCCGACGTGTTTCCTGCTTTCGGGAGGGAGACTCCTTTCTCCCCCCCTCTTCTTTCTTCGCCCTCTTCATGCTTGTCTCCCATGAAGAGAGAGGTTATCTTCTTTTCGTTCTCACATTTTATCCGGGTGAGTCCCCACTTTATTAGTTAATATCACAGTTTGTTCCCCCCACCTCACTCTCTGTTTTAGTTGTACTCTATGTTAGCAAAGTTTTATTTTTCCACCACAAATTTGATTTTAGTCACGACACCGATTTTTCCGTTATGTACCGTCCCAATGGCAGACCGGAAGTGCTGTCGATACTTCGTGATGCGAATACCTCGAACTCTCGACGTAAAGTGAGGTTTCTTTTACTAAGGGACTAAGGGACTAGGAAGCAGGTATAAAACTGGAAATAGAAGGATAGCTCTTTGGAAGGGGTACTGGTTATACCG